GCGAGACAAGAAGGTTCTTTCGGTAAAGTCACGTAGGTATAAAATAAAATAAATCACATTTTGGGCGCAACACAAGCGTCCGTAATCAGGTGGGAAAGCATGGTCTGCTGCTGAGGCAGACTGTTTTAAAAGGTTTGAAATGGGTGACTTTACCGTAAGAACCAAAGAATATGGATTCCTGCAGTCACGAAAGCTTCAAATCAGATTGAACCGTCTCTATGGGGAGGGTTTCCACACATCTGTTACAGCTTTTAATAGACTGCGAGACAAGAAGGCTCACCTGATTGAGTCGCTAACCTTTCTCAAGAGATGCCGCGATAACAATACCGGTCGCATTTACACACATCTGCTGCTGTCACGTCTCCTAACGCTAAACAGATCTTGTTCAAAGCTAGCCTCTCGCTAATCTCAGAGAGAATAAGATTGCTCCGATTTGAACTTGATAATTTAGAGAAGACTTTCTTACAATCACACTTAAAACTAACAGATAAGATGTCCACTTCTGATTGGGACCATGTAGATAACATGACAGTTTCTTCTGCTACTTCAATGTCAACCAAATGTAAAGTTAACTTGATCGCTAAATTCAACCTCCTGTCAAAAAAGGAGCCAGAGCCACACGTTAAAAAGTTAGATGTTAACAACATTGCCATAATTCAAAGTAACATCCCAATTTCCGACAACGTAAAATCAGTACGAGCCAAAGGGTTGAATTTCACAGTCACCCCTAAACACATCCCAAAGGATGATATAATTGCCCAGGTCGACGTAGCCTTCAATGGCTTGGGACACATCCCGGCAGACGTTGCTAGATCTGAAATCGCTATCCTCAAAAACGCTAAGAAACCCATTAGCAACATCAGCAAAACGAGCGTTTTGAACTCTCTAAATGAAAAAAACGGAGATGACATTGTCGTCCTCTCAGCCGACAAGGGCAATGCCACTGTCATCATGGATAAAACCACTTAGAACAAAATTCAGGACCTTAATGATGGCAGTTAAATCAAAATCAACAGAGATCCCACCAACCACCTAGCTAAAAAAACAACTATCATCACTAAATCGACTTCTCTAATCGATCAGTCCAAGCAGAGCTCCCTAAATCCTTCGGCTGCTGACCACCCAGATTATATAGCCTTTCAAGAATCCACAAAGTAGGCACCCCGCTCCATCCCATCACCTCCACCATTACCTCACTCACCTACAAACTGGCCTGATTTCTTTCTGAGACCCTGCTTCCTTTCACGGGCATGTCCACCTCAGCTGTAGTAAACTCAGCTCATACTTTTTGGTTCTATTCGGTAAAGCCACGTAGGTAAAAAATAGCTTAAAGGACGCGACCTGGGCTTGGCTGTTCTCACTCCAACGCTGTCCTCTTGACAGTCCGGTCCTTTCACCTGATGAAGGTCACTTGTGTTGTGGCCGAAATGTCGTGATTTTTATGTTTTATTGTTTTTTTTACCTATGTGACTTTACCGAATAGAACCAAAGAGTATGGATCATTGCAGTCACGAAAGCTTCAAATCTAGAATTATACTCAGCTCACTAGGTTTCTCTCATGAAGGACATCTCACTGTCTCCAAATGATTTTCTTGTCAGTTTCGATGTAGTCTCTCTGTTCACCAATGCACCTGTATTTGACGTCATTGCAATCATTGAAGACTTCGTCCAACAAGGACGAAAACCAGATGTACCAACTTTGGTAAGGCACTGCCTTACCAACACATACTTCACCTGGAATGGTACATTCTACAAACTGAAGGCACCCCAATGGGTTCTCCCTTATCGCCAGTGGTAGCGAATGTTTTCATGGAGAAATTTGAAACAGATGCCATGCAGACATCCACCCTACGTCCTTCCATGTGGAAGAGATACATGGATGACACATTCGTCATCTGGCCACATTGCCTGTCAGCACTGAACCAATTTCTCAATCACATCAATTCCATACACCCATCTGTAAAATTCACCATGGAAGTGGAAAAAGATGGCAAGCTATCATTCCTGGATGTTTTGACCGAGAAGAGACTTGATGGCTCGTTGGGACATTCGGTCTACGGGAAAGCCACCCACACGGATGCCTATCTAAAGAATGACTCCCACCACCAACCATTCAGCCCAGAAGAATTTCCTCATCAAAACACAACACCATAGGGCCCTTTGCATCTCCGACCAGCACATAGCCAGTGAGTTGGAGCACGTACATGAAGCCCTCAGGATGAACGGATACTCGGATCGTACAATCCTCAAAGCTGTCTCCCCAGTCATGCGGAGACAACCTTCTGAGGATCCAACCAAAAACCATCCCTTTTCCGTACATAGCAGGGGTTACATGCTAATTTCTCACATTAACATCACTAGCCCCGGACACACTTCTTTATGACCCTTGGGCTACACCCATTTCAAACCTTTTAAAAGTCTGCCTCAGCAACAGACCACGCTTTCACACCTGATGACGGATGCATGTGTTGCGCCCAAAACGTCGTGATTTATTTTATGCCTACATGACTTACCGATAGAACGAAAGAGTTTGTGATTTTATTAGTTTACATTGGACCAAGGGCAAAAACAAATAGCGAGTTTTCGTCAGAGGGCTTAGTTTGTTGTATCTGTGTACTTTGTTGAAACGTAAACCCAACAGTTTGTCAGTTAAAAGTTAAGATAGGCGTACGCAGACAGACGAAAAAATCACGTTTATTAGGAATGAAAAGACAACATAATTAGCTTTGTGGAGAAAATACCTCCTTCATGTAACATTTCAGTGTTTCCCTTGTGTGTACTATATTCGTGATTTCGAAGACAAACATTGAGTTGGGGAATATGGATCCTAAGCTACAAAAAATATCTTTGACCCTGTATCACATGAACAACAGCAGTCACGTAAATGTCCTGCACAGGTTACAGTCAAAATAAACATTCGTCTAGTTAGGACATTCCATTTTTGACCATTTAATACCAAATGGTACTTACAGCAAAATCTTTGCTATCACGTACTTTACCATCTGGAATGCTCTATTAACCGGCATCTGTCAAGCGGCAATGTAAATATTATTTCACATATCGAGAAAAATTATGGCATCTTGCAGCGTGCTTCATGACGTTGCTGAGTGGTGGCACAAATGGAGTCGCAATTGCAATCTGCAATCGGCCATTGTGATAATGTTGTGGGCTGCCTAACCTAATTGTTTCACTGTACTTGTACATACAGTACTGCACTACTGTACACTGTAATATAAACAGCACTACTGCTTCTCTACAGTAAACTTAAAATGCTGTACAAATGACTGGTAAGTACCTCTGTAAAATAGGAAATTATTTTGAATATCAGTTAAAATGTATGCTTAATTTCTTCATAAAAAAATGTTTTTACACTTGAGAATTTTGCTGAACCATAAAGTATACCTCTCAGACAACCTGCACATTTGATGAACTGGCACCCTTGATTCCCCATGGATGCTGGATAAGAGCTTTTGCTGTGTATGCTCAGAATCAGATCATGTGTTAAAATTATAACTCTAAATTATCAAGCGACACATCGCCAACATTCAATAATTGCATTGAAATATACTGCATCACATTATAGCGCATTTACTGTACTGTTGTATATGCCGGGTATGAAAATTGGATTAAAATACAATTTAAATGAAATTTGGAAAAATGCGCAATTATCCAAAATCATGTTAATTTATTTAATTATGCACATAAATTATGCTACTTAGAGAGATAATAATATTAATCTATGCAAATGTGTGCGGCTATACTAATGTACGCAGTTATGATAATTAGGCTAAACCTCGTTGTCGAGGGTAGTATTATCAATCGGGATAAGACAACGAATCGTATGAATCTTCTTTGGTTCTTTTGGTAAAGTCCCGTAGAATGAGAATAAAATAATAAATTGATACAATAAAATAACACAATAATATTCTCACGACGTTTCGGCTACAACACAAGCGGCCTTCATCAGGTGAAGGGGACGAGACTGTCTGGAGGACAGCGCTGGAGTGAGAAAGTCATGCGTGGCTGATGAAGGCCGCTTGTGTTGTGGCCAAAACGTTGTGAGAATATTATTGTGTTATTTTATTTTATCAATTTATTATTTTATTCTCATTCTACGTGACTTTACCGAAAGAACCAAAGAAGATGAATCATTGCAGTCACGAAAGCTTTAAATCGAAATTTGAATCGTATGAAGTTATACAGGTGTGCTTTAAGTACGCCAGATGAAACTTTGCTTCGTTGTCTAGGTTCGTATTATCAATCGGTATAATACAATTATTCTCGCTTTAACATTACTGATTATGTATTAGTGTGTTATGTCAGATCTCCAAATTCAAATCTCAGCGCAGGATACAGTTCTTATAATTAAGATTATTACGCATGAACCTAGAAAAGAAACTCAAACACTTCTGTGTTAAGCAATTTAAATTTCTAAACAAAACCTTAACACTCTAATATGCGAATTCTCATGCTTAAAATTGTCACAGTACTCCAGATGTTCCCCTAATTGATCCATACATTTAACCTTCAATGGTCGTTTGTTAACTGGGTAACAGTACAATCGATTATTCCTCAGAGTACGCGAGCATACACGGCGAGAGGAAAAGTAATAAAAAATTCATGCAACCATATTCATACGAAGGGCAATAAAGAAACATGTCCCAAAAGCAAGAGTAGTTATCAATTAATTCGTTTGTAAGATTATGCAATTAAAAAGAAAACGAACGAACGACTAAAATACTTCTAAATGACCGTATCCACGTAACACATTGGGCAGCAATGTTCTTCACGATCAGTTGATATTTAATGCACCACCTTGGAATGGCAACCCTTCTTGAAACACAAATATACTTTTGGAACAATCTTATTTGTCCCGATATGCGTGTTGTGTCTTCTTTGCCACTTGTTCAATTCATTGCATAAAGCAGACGCCGGGCGATGCGTCGTGAGGGTGTGGGTGTGGGGGAGGGTCATACAAACGGCTTCATTGCTTTTTCTTGCTCGGGGCGTCGGCTTAGCTGTCCGTCCGCTGGCAGATACAGGCTCTTTCCACTGCTGTAGGAGATGCGCCGCACGCGCTCCCTCCTTGAAGATGCTCGATCGCGCTCGCTGCTGGTCCGCTGACAGCAGCAGACTCCTTCCACTGCTAGAGGAGCTGCGTTGCACGTGCTCCCTCCTGCCCCGTGCTCTTTGTCGATGCCCGATTGCGCGTGCAGTTCGTTCGCTGGTGGCGGACACCCTTGCTCGGTGGAGCTGCTGGTGGGAGCTGGCACTCAGGATAGAATGACTTGAGCTCTTTGTCGATGCCCGATTGCGCGTGCAGTTCGTTCGCTGGTGGCGGACACCCTTGCTCGGTGGAGCTGCTGGTGGGAGCTGGCACTCAGGATAGAATGACTTGAGCAATACTTCTTCCGTCAGCTCTAAACTCGTGTTCGGTGACACATCACCACTCGGAAAGTCTCCCCATCCCTGATTGATTGCAGAGTCTCACCCCGGAGCTTGCCGTTCGCTGCCCTCTTCTGTCGCTCGCCGAGCTGAATTGTCGAGCTCAGCACCTAACATCACCTCGCCCCTCTTCTCTGCGAGACACAGCACCCATTGCTAATGTCTCGAGGCCATTCCCCGAAGCTGGCTTGCTGTCCTTTACCGAGCTACTGTCTTCTTGTCGAGCGGATGGTCGCTGTCTACTTCCGCTGGTATCTGGGATGTCGCTGAATTGTCGAGCTGAATTGTGTGTTGTGTTGCTGTTATAATCCGAAAAATCTCCCCTATACGCGGCTCTTGCGAGAGGAAAAAAAAGATGCTTACTCCGTCTGCTCTCTCACAAAGGACCAGAATTCCTTTCATCTCGCTCAGTGTTGTGGGGGGGGAAGGTTGGATGTGTATCCGTGTTTTTTTAATTTGACTTTATGGCTGACCCTTTCCGGTGGTGGAAGGGGGGGGGGGGGTTCCATTTGTTTGTGCTCCCTGCGGTCCCGTGAGTGATTAAAAAAAATATTGGCAAAATCATTATTAATATCAATTTTGGAAAACAACAGTACACTGATCTTTGAATGGATGCCTACACATGCATGCATTCTTAGAATGCGAGTGATAGCACGGTTGATATTTGTTAAAAGAGGTTCAAAGTTCACATCTGTCCGGCAACCCTCATGATTACTGCAATATTGACCAAAAATCTGCTTAACAGTGGATGTTCAACATTCATGGTGTCAGGGTCAAAATTTGCCAGATTAGAAAGATTAGCCACAAACGACCCGACTGGGGTTACACATTAATCATCGCTCCACCCAACTGGCAAGCTCATGTCCACGTGCAGGTTGGTACTGAGTCACCTTCTACCACAAAAGGGACAGCTGCCACTTGGGCTAGCCATCGAACTATTGAGATGAAATATGATACAAGCCGCTTGTAGTTGCTGAAGAATTTCACCTTTGAAAAGCAAGATTGGCTACATATAGTGAGAAAGAAATAACACATTAATGCAAGCGCCAATTATTAATATCAATATTATTTTAAACACGTTGAATGCTGTGGAGCTTTTTTGTCTCCCGCTAATGCTTACAGATCTACCCAACCTCCAAGTCCACACATGCTGGCCGCTCCTACTCTGCATCCTCAAAAAAGTCCACCTCCACAAACTGCTGGGTTTCATTTCACTCTCAGTCTGCAGCCTCCTCCAGCTTCAGGCTATTTCTATTGAGCACTTGGAGGTTAAACGCTTGCAATTATAAAGGCACGAATCTGGCTGTCGCCTGATGAAGCTAGTTGTAATGACTGGCGAAACGTCACTCAGATTGCAAATGTTGTGGCTTGGCTCTCCAACACACCGGTGTGCTGTACTAGTGATGAATTGGCATGTTCCGTTTACGTGACAACCCTTACTAGTTGGCTGTCGGGTGGTGGCGGGTTTTAACGACACATTTACATATTTACGCGATCTAACCCAAAAAACCTCTATTATGGGAAAGGCCTGTGAATGGATTGAAGCTCAATGATGCACATCTACTTGGTCTCCATTTGACTCAGTATTGCCTAAAAAATCCACCCACACCTCCACATCCACAAATTGCTGGGAGTTGCCTTGCTCTGCCTCAGAGTCCACAGTCTCCTCCAGCTTAACGCTGCCTCGATCAATGTGAAGGTCGGATTTTGGAGTTGAATCTTCATCCTCACATTTCACTATCACTTCTTCAGACTTTACCGTCACTTCACTTTTCACCTTCACTGATTCAAATTTCATTTTCACTTCTTGACATTTCGCCTTCACTCCTGGCCACGTTTCATAACTCAAATGTTTTTCTGGTTCTTGTTTCATGAGGGATGGACTAATTGCAGCACTTTGACTTTCACAAGCCGATTTCAGATCAATTTCCTGATGAATGGTTTGATGCTTGTTTCGATCCCCTAACTGTCGAAAACCCTTCCCACCATTCACAGTGCACTTTAAGGGTTTTTCTCCTACGTGTGTTCGCTGATGTTTTTTAAGATGTGTTGACAGTGAAAATTCCTTCCCACACACAGTGCACTTGAAGGGTGTCTCTCCTGTGTGTATTCTCTTGTGTGTTTTAAGATGGGATGACTTTGCAAAGGCCTTCCCACAAACAGTGCACTTAAAGGGTGTCTCTCCTGTGTGACTTCTCCTGTGTGTTTTAAGTTGGGATGACTTTGCAAAGGCCTTCCCACAAACAGTGCACTTGAAGGGTATCTCTTCTGTGTGACTTTTCTGGTGTATTTTAAGATATGATGACTCTGCAAATGCCTTCCCACACACAGTGCACTTGAAGGGTTTCTCTCCCGTGTGTGTTCTCTGGTGGCTCTGAAGCTTTGATGACCGTACAAATGCCTTCCCACACACAGTACACTTGAAGGGTTTTTCTCCTGTGTGTATTCTCTGGTGTATGTTAAGATATGATGACTGTGCAAAGGCCGTGCCACACACAATGCACTTGAAGGGTGTTTCTCCTGTGTGTATTCTCTGGTGTGCTTTAAGATGGGATGACTTTGCAAAGGCCTTCCCACAAACAGTGCACTTGAAGGGTGTCTCTCCTGTGTGACTTCTCTGGTGTATTTTAAGATGCGATGAATGTGGAAACGCCTTCCCACACACAGTGCACTTGAAGGGTTTCTCTCCCGTGTGTGTTCTCTGGTGGCCCTGAAGACTTGATGAATGTGCAAATGCCTTACCACACAAAGTACACTTGAAGGGTGTTTCTCCTGTGTGTATTCTCTGGTGTCTTTTAAGCCCTGATGACAGTGCAAAGGCTTTCCCACACACAATGCACTTGAAGGGTGTTTCTCCTGTGTGTATTCTCTGGTGTCTTTTAAGAGATGATGACTCTGCAAACGCCTTCACACAAACAGTGCACTTGAAGGGTGTCTCTCCTGTGTGACTTCTCTGGTGTATTTTAAGATGCGATGAATGTGGAAACGCCTTCCCACACACAGTGCACTTGAAGGGTTTCTCACCCGTGTGTGTTCTCTGGTGGCCCTGAAGATTTGATGACCGTGAAAATGCCTTCCCACACAAAGTACACTTGAATGGTTTCTCTCCCGCTGATTGTTTTCGCTCCATATGACCAATTCTGTCCAGCAAAGTGGCAGAGGAACTGGCAGCTGCAGACAGAAAACAGTAAAATCCACGCAATGTATGTCAGCATAGAAGCATAGAAATGCATATGTATACAGTCACACGTGATATTCACATTTTACATGGACAAGATCACCCTCAAATTTATCACACAGGCTGTTTTACGGCACTTGCTCCTATTGAAAATCAGCTGTTGGCCTGGCATAGTAAGGCAAGTGGTCAGTATAATGCCTGGAGGCCCAAGTATATTTAATATCAATGATAACCCGTAACTCTACGTACAGAATTTCGGTTGTATCCGGTTAATGAAGAAACGTTAACTATTGCAAAAGTCTTACAAAAATAGCAAATAATGTTAAAAATTAAACTATTCACATTAGGAAGAAATATTATAAAATGGACAAATTAATGTTCAATCGCAACTTTTAAGTCAGAAGCCAGGCTCAGACTTGATTGAATGCTTGGATGAACAGATGTAATTTCAGCTTCATGTGCTGTGTTTTCCATGCTTATGAAACATTCCATGTGTCGGGGACTGTACAAGAGAAGGTTCCAGAAGGCGCACGTTGTGTTGATTGGAAACAGCTGACCGGAAGGCACTGAAAGCATTATTCAATTAAGGACACACATGTTATAGTAAAGTGGGGGGGGGGTGTACGAGTATATAAGGAGGAGCAAGGCCCGCGGTCGGGGCGCTACCTCGGTGACTGATTCACGACCAGAGGTGGACGACGGTGGGGCCGACTTTGGAAACCATCGGGGTTGACTGTTCAGGTATCAACTAGGTGGAAACCGTCGGGGCTGAAGATAGCCATAGCGATTGCGAGGGTGGCAGTCGTTACACTTGGACTGTATATACGTTCGGAGAAATAAAGCTCTACTCCCCTGAAAATGGATGTCTCCAAGGAGCTTATTTAACACATGTAATAGAAAAACTCCATTTCTTTGATTAAACCTAGGTGAATAATATGGTCAATATACTTTACAGCAAAAACAAACTTTATACTCTCACGCACTGGAACAGTGAAGGTGGTGGTGTTGTGGCTAGAACCATGCCTGGCTGCCTTCATCTGCTCAGTACAGATGCTTATACTCTTCACCAAGTACTTAACCTAGGAATAATCAACCCAGCAAAGGCCTACAATAAGTTAAGCTGTCACTTGTCAATCATGTCTGCTGTCAGCAATAATACAACTCTGAATGTTGGCTCCATAATGCAGTGGACGAACAAATGTGCCTCCGCTCCGCATGTAGATACACTCTTACAGATATGTTTCACATGGATCATTAACAGATTATATAAATAAAACAGCTACCATTCACCACTAATAGGTAGTAACATCATTACAGTGGTCATGCCATGATAGGTGCGAGTTGAGGCCATGTAAGTGTGGAGCACTTGCCAGTAGGTCATGGGAATGATCCAGGTATCAAGGGATGACTGAGATGACTGGCAGATGCATCACCTGTCTTACCCACTGTGCCAACTTGCTGCATTTTAGCCACCCAGCGCTCCACCCATTGATGTGTCACTCCTCTGACCTCGTTGTTGTAGGATGAATGCCTCCAACTACCCTGCAGCATCCTTCACGGGCCTCCTCCGCAGAGGTCGATCTTTTAAGCCAGGGGTCACCAAACTTTTTCCAGTGGGCCGGATAACTGAAAGAATGCCGAGCGCGGGCCGCATAATAAATAAATAAATAACTATTCTGGAGCGTCGGATCTGTGTTGATAGCAGGAAAATCTTGGGGCGGGAAAGATGCGTGTTTGTGTGTGTTGCCATGGAATCCATGGCAACGTGTTGCCATGGAAACCATGGTAACGTCAGAGCGTAGGCGGAGCTACTACGAGCCGGGGAAGGACTTGAGACGGCGCGCAATAAGCAAACATTACAATAAACAAGAAAATCTAGATACAATAATTTAAAATAGGAAATTTAAGGTACATAGCAGTCAGGAGGTCTCCGCACGCGTGAAGATCTCCTAGTATTCTAAACATAATTTTTAAATTGTATCACAATGGCTCGTGTTCCATACGTTTTATCAACCAAATTCAAGTACCGTCGGCTATCTGTGGTGCTAAAGTTGAGGGTAAGAATCCACCAATTTTTTCGCCATATAGCATTGTGATATAACGACTTATTGTTGGTAGCTTAGCTGATTGGAGAATATATAGAGTTCATTGATAACATTGAGGAAGTTTATATTTTAGTTTTTCATTGGTTTACTACGTAGTATTCATTATATAATGTAGTGTATACCCAGTTACTGTTAATAGCTCAGCTTATTGAAGAATATATTGAGTACATTTATTATATTGATGTAATTTAGACTTAGGTTTTTTCACATCGGTTTACTATATGATAGTCGAGTTGTTGCAGCCCCTTTGGCGTCCATGTACTAGGTGCCTCTGTAGATGTGTAGGCTTTGACTTTAACATAGCTATTTCTATGACCAGTCACAAGCTAATCCCTCAGTTATTTCAATGCTAAATTCTCCTGTTTGATTTATACTAGGTGCCTCTGTGGATGTGTAGGCTTTGACTTTAACATAACTATTTCTATGACCAGTCACAAGCTAATCCCTCAGTTATTTCAATGCTAAATTCTCCTGTTTGATTTGTACTAGGTGCCTCTGTGGATGTGTAGGCTTTGACTTTAACATAACCATTTCTGTGACCAGTCACAAGCTAATCACTCAGCTATTTCAATGCTAAATTCTCCTGTTTGATTTGTACTAGGTGCCTCTGTGGATGTGTAGGCTTTGACTTTAACATAACTATTTCTATGACCAGTCACAAGCTAATCCCTCAGTTATTCAAATGCTAAATTATCCTGTTTGATTTGTACTAGGTGCCTCTGTGGATGTGTAGGCTTTGACTTTAATATAGCCATTTCTGTGACCAGTCACAAGCTAATCACTCAGCTATTTCAATGCTGAATTCTATGCTAATTCCTTTGTCAAGGCGCTCTGTTTCTTCTCACACAGCTTAAAGGTCGCGGTCTGAGCTTGGCTGTGTTCGCTCCAGCGCTGTCCTCCAGACAGTCTCGTACCTTCACCTGATGAAGGCCGCTTGTGTTGTGGCCAAAACGTCATGAAAATTTTATTGTGTTATTTTATTTTAACAATTTATTATTTTATTCTCATTCTACATGACTTTACCGAAAGAACCAAAGAAGATGAATCCTTGCAGTCACGAAAGCTTTAAATCGAAATATATGCACTGTCTTTGAAACTCTTTGGTCCACACCAGAGACAGCTTTCTTTTGAGCCTAGTCTCAAAACGGTGTTAGACCAGAGGACGCCAAAAGGCGGCAAAAGGCGTACGGTGAGTTGGAATCAAACTCGTGTTGCCTGGTTCGTAGCGCAGCGCGCTGTAGGTTACATTACGATTCGCCACTAAGTGAGCTCTACCAGTATGAGTGCAAAGGAACATACACCGACTGACTGCTGAAGTTTCCGGTCAAACTGCCTCCTCTCCCAGTTCCAGAGAAGGTTTTGCCCACGCATTGCAAATGTCACCAATCACAATATTCCGGGTTCGCCATTCTGGTAAAATGAAGCGGCCACTCTGATTAGTACGACAATGAGATATATTGAAGTCTATCTTTAAAACTCACCTCTGTAAACTGGTCTTCATCCCCTGCCTAGTTTTGCCGTTTACCTGAGCGAGTGGGTGAGTGATTGGGTCACGGAATGGGTGAGTAGTTGACTTATTGAGTAGGGAGTGGGTCATCCAGTGAGTGAGTGATTGAGTTAGTGGGTAAATGAAGCTTTGCCCGCCCTTGAGTTTTGGCTGTTTACCCTGCAGGATGTGTATATTTCGTACTTTTTATACACGGCACGGATTGGTGGGATCCACGGATGAAATGCAGCACTTCACAAATGTTAATAATGGTATTGTTAATATTGCAGGCATATTACACGCACCAACATGCAACATATGCTGCCATATAGATATTAAAGTCATTATTTCTCGCGTTATTTTTCATGAGTAGGCCATTGTGTACTGGTGTCATGGTTTAAATGTATAATGATACAACTATTTTGATGAAAGAAGGAAAGGCTTTAACCTTTTCGGCAATAATACTGGTGTTAAGATCAGAATCTTTAAAATCAGAATCTGTCTTCTGGAGGAATGTCACAGGTGTCCAGTCAAGGCGGGTCAGAAAGTTACAAAAACATGGTTGGATACGTACGGTGTGAAAGACGTTCAATTAACATACAAAAAACAATAGGAGTGCAAAATAGATGAAAGGTAAGCAATTCACGACAAATAAATAGAAATGAATAAAGTACATAGTACAATTTGAAAACAGATACCTATTGCAAGGCAGCATTAAGTCTGCGTTAATAACACATTCTTGTGGTATAATTTAACACAAACATCAAGTCTGTATCAACCACGTGATATTTTTATTTACAAGGATATTTTTTTCCATAGATTTGCTCTTTATTTTACTTATTAAACCATTGGACAATCAATCCGAAAAATCTGCGACGTGCATCTGATTGTCTATGTGAGTCTGTGGGTCTGTGTGCAAGTCTGTGGGTTTCTGTGCGAGTCTAGGGGTTCCTGTATGCCTGATTGTTTAAGTTTCCCAGATTTCACTGCCCAAAGATTTGGAACCACATATCGTTTTTTGGCATCTCAATTCTGCCATCTAAAACCTCGCTTAAACTGACTCTAATAATCACTAAAGTTTGAGTGGGAATGCAATTTTACAACAGAATTGGTAATAAGTTTATTTTGTAAACCTCCAATTTTTGAATGCGTTGATGTCTGCCCGCCATGTCGCCCTTAAAAAAATATCGTCTAAGCTCAATGGGTGTTACTCGTGAAATTCACTTCTGATTGTGAGTGGGCCAGTGAGTTTGGGTAAGTGGGAGGGCGAGTGAGAGGGCGAGTGGGAGAGTGTGAGTAGGTGAGTGTGCTTGTGTGGGCGAGTGGATGGATGAGTGAGTGGATGGATGAGTGAGTGGGCCAGTGAGTGTGCTTAATTATAATTAAATGCTTTGATGTCTGCCGGCTGAGTCGCCCTTGAAAATAAGCGTATTAGTTCAATGGACTGCACTCGGAAAATAAACATATTCTGACTCTGAAATAAACTTATGGACTGGTATCGTCCAAATATTGCAATGCTGAATAAATGCCTCCAGTTTACTCAATCGGGAATACGCGAATAAGCATCGCCCCTCCCCCCGACTGCCAAACCAACTCGGCAGGACGCTCCTGAACTGAAGTAAAGAGACTCAGTGTGATAAAGCACTCGAGTGTGCACCACGGTGGAGAGATTTGCACTACATCGCCCGGTATCCAACAGGTCGTGGGTTGGATCCCGACGCTGACGCGTGTTTATTTGAAGTTTGCGTGTCTCTCTTTCTGCGTGGTCGCGTGGATTTGAACTCCGCTTTTCCCCTCCAAATTTAGAAACTTGAGTTTAGAGCATTTGGCTGCTGTAAATTTCCACACGATTACAAGCCACTTCGTTGTGGGCAGGTCGCTTCTGAAATAGAGATATATAGCTCAAAATAGAAATATAAAAACGTGGTTTTAAAGTAGTCAGCCAGGTGAGGACAAATAAAAAGTAACAAAAATCAAAGCAAATACAATCAGGCGATGGCAGGAGGCAAGCCCAGCATGGCTAGGCCACGCTTTGTAACGTTCCAATCTGGACATCTATTCCATACTCGCTGCTACACTCAATTGAGATCCCGAGGAGAATAATCGAAGAAGCGAGGCTGCACCTAAATAAACAAAAACAACCACCACCAAAAACCACGACCACCACCACGATGTGAACTTCTTACCTCGGATCTCAGTTGAGTGGCGAGCAGCTTTCCGGGATTTCGTGACGTCACGCAGATTAACGCGGCAGGGGAGATGACATGACGTCACGAGCGAGTTATCCCTCCCACTTAATAGATTATGTTGAAGAGCCCGGCCCTGACATTGAATGATTTGGAGTGGCTGCTGAACCAGACATAGTGAACTCGCGACAGATTTAATGGTTAAATTAAATTAATGAAGCAGGCCCTTATGGGGAGTGATTGTGCGTGGCTTTGCCCAAATTATGATTTTACTGGTGACATGACATCACTAGCGAGGTACACATGCCCTGCCGTCTCGCGACGATGACGTCACGTGGAGTGGTCAAGTGAGAGAGCGAGCACGGTGAAGAGTGGTATTAGAGTATAAGTTGATTTAGAATTCTTTTACATGTATTCCTCTGTTGCACAGGGATCCCTTGCTACAACAACAAGAACGTGAACATTATTGCGCGTGTGTACACCACTATCATCATAAGCATCAACATCATCAGCACCATCATCAGCAACACCACTTTAATCATCATCAACACCACCATAATCATCATCAACACCATCATCAGTATCAACAACAACCGCAATTCGTCACTATGTGGCGCTTGTTCCATACTAAGGCCACGTGAAATATCAAACGCCCGCGTGCAAGAGGTCACGTGACATACCCAGGTGTCATGGGTTGACTGATTGAGATGACTGGCCGACGCACCACCTGTGCCCCCTACTTTGCCAACTTGCTGTGCTTTAGCCACTCGGTGCTCCGCTCGTTGTGAGCATCGCTCCTCTGCCCTCCGT